TGTGTATATTTAGATACGGTTTTAGGTATAGGTGTTTCTTCATGTTATCAAATATGGAAGTCAGATACATTTTATCAGCTTGAAATTGAGCCTACGATTATTATTTCTGCTATTGGTGCATTGTTAACATTAATAAGTGTGCTGTTTGTTGTTAGTTTGAATGGGTACCGAATGACAAAGAAGCTAGGAATTTGGATGATTTTTATTTATTTTACTTGCTATGTTATTAATTTTTTGTTTGAATTTGACGTGCTGAATATACCTTGAAACACACATGATAACAACTTTCCTTTTAAAAGATGTTGAATAATAGTAGAAAAAAGGCATATTTATAAAAAAAAAAAAAGAATAAATTTTTATATACTATATAGACTTATCATTCTGGACACTTGAAATAAATACTATCTTTTAATAGATCAAACACTTTAATTAAAGGGAGTTTTTTTTCCTACAAAGATATACAGTATGATATATAAGATAATGGTAAATACTTTAGTAAATGGAGGGGGGAAAAAAGTATAACTCTCGAATAAAAAAAAAACACTATGAAACTTCCCAAGTTATAAAAGAGAACAGACAAAATAAATACAGGTAGTTTCGTAAGTGATAATATACTCGTTATGTAATAGGCAAAGGGATACGTATTGAACACTAAAAAAAGATTTCAAGATAATATAAAAATTTAAGTCATAGTCAGGTTTAAAGGAGTCAACAACACACTGTAGAAAGAATTGCTAAATAAACAAAAGATAGGGTGGATTAAGTATAGCTACTATAGCATTTTCAAAGTAATTGATTATTATTGCTCTGTTGACCTATTTGCTTTTGAATAAATCAGGCTTGTCATTTATTATGTTTTTTATATTTTTTTACTTTTACAATAACAGACTATTATTGTATCTTCTTACGCTTGCCAAAGCTGTAGGATGCTATGTCAACGTGAATGCAATATCACGAAAAAAAAAATATTTAGCAAATCTTTAATGAGATACTAACTAGCCGAGATCGTCCCTCTTACATTCTCTCATCAGAAACAATAATATCTCCGTCTCGAACATGGCTTTTTTTTTTTTTTTTTTTTTTTTTTTTTTTTTTTTCCTCTTAACATATAAACATGCCTAAGAATTAATTTCATTTTGTCTAAATTTATTTTTGATTCTTCTTAAAGTTGCATTGTTTTGTCGATCTATAATTTTTTTTTCCACCTGGTCTCAATTTCATTTAAAAAAGTACTTGTAGTAGTAGAACAATGATCTCGCGCCTATTGCGGTTATTCAATTCCAAAAAATACGAATAGAAGAGGGTATCTTCAAGTGTAGTCCTTTTTTTTTTTTAAAACTGAGAAAATTAAAGTTTTACTTTGAAACTACCTTTTTTTTATTTTTTTTTGCTTGTTACTGTTAAATTTCGTGACCATGTCTGAGTACCAAAACTTTTTTTTCTTTAAAAAAAAATTGTTTTTTTGACATTAAAAAAAAAAAACTTGATTTCTTCCTTCATATAGACGTTTCTCACGTTTGAAGAAAAAAGAAAGAAGAGAGAGTGACAAAAAAAAAAAAAGAAAAAAAAAAAAGAAGAAGAAAAGCCTACATTTGTATTATTATTGTTATTACAGCATACATCAAATCGAAGAAACGCACAAACACACTCTCTTTTTAATTTTTTTTTTTGTAATTAGACATAAACCTTTTTTCTTTTTTTTTTGTAATTAGACATAAACCTTTTTTCTTTTTTTTTTTTGTTTATAAAACTCATTTAAAAGCAACTTTACTTCAAAGTACATACCCTAACCTTATATATATACACATATATAACACGACACTTTCTTAATTATTAAAGTATTAAACAAACACATTTCAAAATGGGAGGGTAAGTGTTATATATATTTATATAAATATTTATTCAAAAAAAATTTTTTTTTGTGAAATTAAAAAAATTTTTTCTCTCTCTCTCTCTCTCTTTCTTTTCAATAGAGTTACTATTGCACATCAACCTAATAACGAAGATACCAATTTCACAAACTATTCTACTACTGAAGAACAAATTAATCAACTGTTAGCCGCTTCTGCTGAATGGTCTACTAATAATTCTAATATGCCACCTATTGAAGATTTAACAAGTGAGGTTCAAGAACTTATGATGAGGTAAATATCAAATAATCTCATATTAGATATAAACGGTTATTTATTCATTTATGTATCGTTTTAGGGAATCTGTCAATTGGCTTCAACCATGGAGTGATACTGCTTGTATTTCTGATACACAGATGTATGCTCAATCCCTTGAAGAATTGTTTGGTCAAGATCAATTAGATTTCTCTCAAACTACGACTGCTTTATATGATGAATTAACTTTTGGTAAGCCACACTATAGACTATTTATATTCGTGGCCTTTTATTCACTTTCTTTCTTTATAAAGTTCCTGATGATGGTTCACTTAACTTTAGTGCCCCTACATCTACAGCTTCTTCTCCTAATCATTCAATTGAAGTCAGTCCAATCGTTCAACCTACTCCTTTAGACGAACTTAATCATGTCGACATTGAAGAAGAAGAAATGAGTCAACCCCCTTTAAAGCGTAGAAGAAGTTCTGTTTCAAGCGCAACGAGTTCATCTTCTGAAGAAGAAGAGAGTGATGATGATTCCTCTGATTCTGAATCTGAACCTGTGATACCTACTACTGTTGCTAATATGAATAGTCGTCGAGCCGCTTATTCTTCAGATGATGATTCTGATCTCGAACAACCTCGTCCTTCTACTACTTATATGTATATGCATAAACGTCAAATTGAAGAAACTTTACTAGATCGTATTACAAACCACTTAGATCCTGAAAGATTACCTGGTATTTTACCTATTTTGATGCCTGAACATGCTGTCAATCAAGATGAGGAAGTTGAGATTGATTTATCTTGTTTAGCTCGTGACCAGTTAGTTCAAGTCTTATCCTATGTAGATGCTTGTATTTTAGAACAACAAGGTGGTCCATCTGTAAATATTGAGGATTATATTCAAAAGAAAAAACAACCTACATCATCCACAACAACAACAACAACAACAAAAAGAAGAAGAAGAAGAAAGCCAAAGAGACCTATGACAAAAACAAGAGCTGAATTAACAGAAGAGATTGATGCTGATTTATCGTCAGAAGAAGAAGAAGAGGAGGAGGAAGAGGGAGAGGAGGATAATGAGAGTGTGATACGTTCAAAACATCATGGTCCTATTTCGATGGCTTCCTTATCAAAAAAGAACAATACAGTACCTTCTAAAAAAAGAAATTCCCCTAAAAGGTCTTCTACATCAGCACGTCGACGTAAAACCAAAAAGAATCAAGATGATGCTCTTGTGGCATCTCATGTGACAGTATTCCAAGATCCTGATAGCATTGCTTCTTCTCGACCTAAACGACATGCTGCTGTGCACAAACGTCGTTTATTAGAGGATATGTTGGCTCCCTCAGATGAAGAAGAAGAAGAAGAAGAGAATTGTCCTTTAGTTGTGTTTGGAGATGAAAAGATGGATTTTGGTATTGTTGATAACTGTACTATTGCACATGATAGTAGTCCAGTGATAACGACAAAAACTGAAGAAATCCTAACTACAAGTGCGGTGGCAGATGAAGCGAATGAAGATACTGATGAAGAAATTGATATCATGTTTTAATTTATAAATATTATTAGACAGACATTCATTTTTTTTTCTTGTAATTTTTTCTATTTTTTTTTACATATCTATTGTATACACATTGTTCTCTTTTCTTCCTCTTCTTTTTATTTATATATATATTTCTATCTATTTCTGTATGGCATTCTTTCCCTATTATTATTAATAAAAAAAAAAGAATAAAAAAAAGCAAAATTCTTTACGTTGCTGAGTTTTATTGTATATATAAAATTAATCCAAATCCTTTTTTTTATTTTTATTTTTATTTTTTTTTATTTATTTTTATCTTATTCTTCATGACAATTAATAATAATAAAGATCTACCTTTTATTTCACGTCGGTCCACTGTTTATGGCACTCATGCTATGGTAGCAAGCTCGTAAAGTATATATACGAATATATAAAAGAGTAAAGGAAGGAAGGGAGGGGGGCGTATTTTCATTATTAATGATTATATAAAGTCAACCTTTAGCGACTCAAGCTGGTATTGATATTTTAAAGAAAGGTGGAAATGCTGCTGTAAGTTTATTATTATTGTTATTACCCTTATTCCATATAATATATTTATATTTATATTTATAGGATGCTGCTGTAGCTATTGGTAATATACATATATTGAATATCAAATAATATACACACTCATAATATTCTCTGTCAAATAGCTGCTGTATTAAATGTCACTGGTAATCATAATATAAAATAAAAAATAAAGTAAACTACTAAGCATAAACATGCATGTCTGTATGTATATTTAATATACTCTACATGTTTTTTTTTAAAAAAAAAAAAGAACCGGGATCAACGGGTATTGGTGGCGATGCATTCTGTTTATTTTTTGATGCAAAGACAGGTACTGTGAAAGGGTTGAATGGTTCAGGAAGCACACCTGCTGCACTTACCCTAGATTATCTTCGTCATCATGAAAATATCATTGGAGCCTCTTTAGCTACTCATAGCATTCATGCCATTACAGTACCTGGTGCTGCTGCTGCTTGGGTAGATACAATAGAGCATTTTGGTTCAGGAAAATTAGATTTAACCACTCTTCTCACACCTGCTATTGACCTTGCTGAAAATGGGTATACATCATTACACACACAAATATGTATTTTATTCATCATTTTTTTCTTTATAGATTTCCTGTGTCACATATTTCAGCTCATAGTGTATTAAAAAGATTGAATATAACTCTTTTCTTTTTTTTTTTTTTTTCTCATTTTTTTTTTCCAAATAGTGGGAAAAAGAAACAGATAATTTAAAAGCAGTTAATAAGAATAATGAATGGTTAATTGATAATATAAGAGCGCCTAAAGAAGGAGAAATGATGACTATACCTACTCTTGCCAAGTAAATAAATATATATATATATATATACACCTTTCTCCATCACTTTAACTCCCTCATCTCCTTTTTTTTCTCTCTCTCTCTTTATTCTAGGACCTTTCGAAAGCTTGCGACAGAAGGTAAAAAAGGATTTTATCAAGGTGAGATTGGTGATAGGATCCTTAAGGCATTACAAGAGCGAGGAAGCTTGATGACAGCTGAAGATCTTGCTCAACATACCTCGGAATTAATTGAACCTATTTCGATCGACTATCATGATTGGACGGTTTGGGAAATTCCACCTAATGGACAAGGCATCACTACCCTTATGGCATTAGGTATCATTGAACAGCTCGAGGAATTGGGGCTCATTGATTTCTCAAGGATCCCACAGGGTTCAGCAGATCATTTACATATCGTCACAGAGGCACTTCGTATCGCCTTTGCAGATACTCGTTGTTGGCTTGGTGATCCCGACAAAGTTCAAGTACCTACAAAGGAATTGTTAAGCAAGGAATATCTAAGGAAGCGTGCTACTGAATTGTTTAATATAAAGGAGCGTAATGCCAAGATTGAAAGAGGTGATGTCTTGGCAGGAAATACAGTTTATTTCTCTGTTGTAGATGAAGAAGGCAATGCCTGTAGTTTCATTGTAAGTTATTAAAAGGAAAGAATAACTCACTCACTCACTCACTCACTTTCTCTTTTCAAAATATTTTTATATATATAATAGAATTCACTTTTTATGCATTTTGGTGTAAGTTCTCTTTCTCTCTTTTTCTTTTTTTTTTTTTCCCTTTTCATTTAAAATATTAAATCTATAGTCACATGTTGCTGTTGAAGATACGGGCATCGTTTTACATAACCGAGGTTGCAATTTTGTTCTTATAGAAGATCATCCCAATTGCCTTGGTCCTCATAAACGTCCTTATCATACCATCATTCCTTCCATGATCACTTGTGGTGATCGACTTGAAGCTTGTTTCGGCGTCATGGGCGCCTTTATGCAACCTCAAGGTCAAGTCCAAGTCATCTTGAACCTTAAGCATTATGCAAATAACCCACAACATGCATTAGATTTACCTCGTTTATGCGTTGCTCCTCCTCCTCTTCCTCCAACAACAACGAAAGAAAATGATGATGATGATGATGATGATATATCTTCAAATGCTTATCATTTTACAAAGGTAACAGATTCAGTTATTTATTTAGAAGATGGTATCAGTGAGGAATGCCAAAGAGAGTTGGAGACAAGAGGTCATACCTGTTATCGTCTATATCATCATGATAGAGCTATGTTTGGACGTGGTCAGATCATAAAAGTCAATCTAGATCCAAGGACTGGCCATCGTGTGCTTGCCGCTGGTAGTGATCCACGTGGTGATGGCTGCGCCTTTGGATGGTGAAAACTATATACATGTAATATGTATAAATAAATAAAAAAAAAAATAAAAAAAAAAATACTAATAATAAACACTCCACCTCCTTTCTTCCTATTCCTTTCTTTCAATAACAAAATAATAAAAGAAAAAGTAAAAATAATAAAAAAAAAGATATTCGTTGTATATAATGTACAGTGTATATGTATATTTTTTATTTTCTTTTCCTTTATATAAAAAAAAAAATAAAAGCAACGTAAGAATAGTAAACGATGCTGCGTATCAACTATTTAATTTATTTTTTCTATAGAAAAAAAAAAAGAGGAGATGTTAGCTTTTACATTATGATTCATTTTCTTTCTTTCTTTACCTTGTTAGCTTCTTCCTCAGCCTTGTCGCGAGCACGCTTCTCACGAGCACCAAGAGTACGAGCAGCAGAACGAGCATAACGGAGAGTCATGTAAGCGTTCTTGTTCTTTTCTTCAGCAGTGATAGCACGAGCTTCAGGGGCAGCAGGGATTTGTTCAACAGGGAAGAGAGGACCACGGAGTTGAACAGCAGCAGCGACTTCGGCAGCCTAAATAGTTATAAAAAAAATTAAGTTTCTCATCATAGATAATAAAATAGTAGTAGTAGTTTTTTTTTTCTTTTAGTTTACCTCAGCATCACCCTTCTTAGGCTTACCGGCCTTACGAGGGAAAACGATCAACTTGGCCTTATAAGCCTTCAAACGTTGAACATTGAGTTCAAGGGATTCATTGGATCTGTTACGACGACGGTGATCAACAGCAATACCAATGGTACGAGCTTCCTTGCGACGAATACCAGCTTCCTAAATGTACATACAATAATTTTTCTTTTAGTTTCTCTCTTTTTTTTTTCTTTTGTAGAAAAAGAAAAAATCAAATATCCCCCTTTCTTTATTTTTACCTTGAGTTCTTCAAGAGTGAAACCACGGCCAGCTCTCAACTTCATGTTGTAACGGACAGTGGGGCAACGGACAGCAGGACGAAGGAGACCGTCAACGGGTCTAGGAGCAATACGACCGGCCTTTTGAACACGTGCGAGTCTTCTAGACTTCTTACGACCGGCTTGATCGAACCAAGTCTTAACACGACGGTCCCATTGCTTGCGGAAATGCTGGTTAGGCAACTGATTGTTGTGCTTCAAAACCATGGTCTATTTATAGTGTTGTTGAAAATACAAATAACAAAGGTTGTAAAAATGTGCAGTTGAAATTGAATTGGTTATATGTGTGTATATATTCATATATGTATATATAAAAGAGAAAATAATGATTAGTTTGACATTCAAATTTGATTTTTTTTTTTTTTAAATTATCCATTTTGACATCCAAAAAAAAAAAGCCATAAATTCATGAACTCTCCAATAAAAAATATATATATATATATATATTCTTTTTGTTCTGTATCCTTCTATCTATCTATCTATTTCATGGATGGATCTCTTCTTTTTTTTTTCTTTTGGATGTCCTTATGTTTTATATGCTTTGTTGATACATACGTAAAGATTACCAGTTGAGGTTGGTGAAAGAGAAAGAAGCTTGTGTTTCTTAAGGTGAGTTTTTGTCTAAAGCCGTTTGCTCTCCTGTACCCAATTACAAAAAAAAAAAAAAAAGTCCGGGCTATCGGAATAATTAATTTGATACGGCTCGGAACATTATCAATGATATGATGTTCTTCTAAATTTTTATTAGATTACATAATATATACAAAAAAAAAAAGTGAGAGAGGGAGAGAGAGAAGGCTTAATAGATAAGTGATCTTGCCCACTCATCAGCAACAGATATAAGCTCAAACGTATAATCAGCTGGTTCAATACTTTTATGTATCCCTGCTGCACTAGGTGTTCCTACTGCTCCAACGGCCGCTGCGGCTGCTGCTACTGCTGCAGCAGATCCTGTAGATGAACTTGTTGTCGTTACTGTAGGTTGATAACAATCTAATAAACCCACTGGATTTATCACAGGAGTATTAGTAGTAGTATTAAAGGGTGATGTTTGATTGTCTTTTGTTGTTTGATCAAATAGGTCCACACTGGATGGTATTTGAAACTCACTATTATTATTATTATTATTATTATTATTATCTCGACAAAAGTTTTGAATAGCAGAGAAGGCTGAAGCATACGCTTGTTGCTGCTGCTGCTGCTGCTGCTGCTGCTGCTGTTGTTGTTGTTGTTGTTGTTGTTGTTGTTGCTGTTGTTGCAGTGCTAAATCCACTAATTTTGTGAAATTTTGCAGATCGCGCATCGTTGGTATTCTTCCTACCATCATCCTCACATCTTCAAGGGTCCTTTTAAATTGTAAACGTGATGATTCTGCTATATCCAGTCGAGGTGACTCAAAATCAACAACATGTGTAAGTGCTGCAAAGATAGCCGAGAATGTGGATAAAGCAAATGTATACATAAGACGAGGTTGTTGAACCGTTAAGGATACTAATTGTGTAATTGTATTTGCCAAGGCTGTCCTTCTAGCCCTTTGCACTTCTTCATTCTGAAACCGACAACACATGACCAATGACAGTTCTAAATCATATCCAACCAAATGCAAATTAGTTACTATAGATGTCGTTGGTATTATCCCTCCAGGGCTCCAATGTAAATCAGCCGGTAATCGTTCACGCCACTGATATAAGGATTCTAAAAACTGAATCATTTTATGTTCTTCTGTCATTGTCCAAGTCGATGTCCTTTCATACGCAAAGAAATTTAAGATCTTTTCTAAAAGTAATGTAAGACGACAAAGCTGGTTAAAGCCTTCAAGTGTCAAACGTTCAACGGGGGAATCCTCAGGTAAAGGATTAGGAAGATCTAGAGCGATATCATTTGATTTCAACATTTGAGGTCGTTCCATTGTACAACTTTCGAGTTTATCCATAACGAAACAAGTCCATAAGACGCGTTTACGAAGTTCGATATCGCATTGAGACATCTGACTACTGTAGTTGGCTGTGTGAAGACCTAATTCGAAACACATACGTATTGCCATTCCTGTATACATCCAACAACGACTTCGAGCAGGTCGATCACAATCATAAAGGGCCAAATAAATTAATGCAATAACGGTACTAAGTCGAGGCTCATCAAGAAAGTCATCAAGCAGATGACGAGCTCGATAATAAAAAAGATCACCCTGTGTTGAAGGATTATCAGGATCAGATCGAAATACAGTAAGATGGTTAACATGTTTTGAAGCATGTGCATACATAACATTGAGGAGAAGAGGTGTAATAAGAGGTCCCTTTGATTTGAGTTGATTATAGAACATGGTACGAGTTAAGATAGGTAATGTGTGTTGATGGCATTCGTCAAAAAAGACACTAATAAGATACTCTTGAGTGGGGCGAGAAGGCATTTCGATAGAAGCATTATAATGAGTTGGTAATGGAGGTTCTGGTGTCCAACGTACAAATTCACCATAACTATGCCAAGGTGTAATTGATTCATTAGCAATTTTAGAAGTTGTATCTTGATTTAAAGTAAGACAAACGAGACCATTTGTTAACTGTTCAATCATTTTATCAGGTCTTGTTGCAGGTTGATGTGATGATGAATGATTATTATTATTAGTTTGATTAGATGATGACATTGTATTATGACTATTAAATAAATGATTCGATTTGTTATTAGACTCTATAATTGTATGTACTTTCTTAGTTTGTTGTTGTTGCTGCTGTTGCTTTAATTGAAGACTATCGCCAATATCTTGAAAATAAGAGTCTGATATAATTGCTGAAGATGAAGATGATTCTATTGGATCTAATCTTATATATGTTTCATCTGGATTCTTTAAATACATGCATTTACGTCTTCTTGCTAAAATTGTTAATAAAAAAAATTGCATAAATTTCAGTAACCATTTTTTTTATTTTATTTTATTTTATTACCTTTACACTAAAACACAAAATAAGTCAATAAAGAAAAATAAATGAAAATAGTCATTATATTTTAACATACCTGCATACATGGTTGCTTTCCATCGCACTATAAAAAGTGGAGTTATATAAGTCTTAATTTTTTTTTTTTTTTTTTTTTGTAATGCTAATTGTTTAAATTTACTTTGATTTTTTTCATTCGACAAGGATGACATGCTCTTCCAACTTTAAGACGTTTATGTCTACTGTCATCTATTCAATATTCAATCAATAAAAAAGATCATTAAATACAAAAAAAGGCCATAATTAAGAATGTTCACATAGTAATTATGTTGATTACCTCGTATAGGTAGTTCAAGTGTAGCAAACATTATAATAGAATAAAGATATATCAAAAATAATGACTTAAAATTAACAAAAAAAGAAAGAAAGAAAATATGTGACAAAGATACTTTGAAAAAAAAAAAAAAATTAAAAGTTTTAGATATTTCTGATTTCTATTTTTTTGGGGGAGTTTTTTTCGTAGTCCAGCAAGAAAAAAAAAAAAAAAAAAAAAAAAGCAAGATCTAGAGCGATTATTTCACAATTATCAAATTATTTGAAAATAAAGACTCATTATATTAATTGATGATGTTAATCTCAATAGAATTATTTTATTATTAAAGAATTCAATTTTGACTTTATATGAATACAGTTTTTTCTTTTCTTTTTTCTAACGACAAATAGCACGGATTTTTAATTTTTTTTGACTTGAGATCCAGTTAAATTTGCAATTTGATAATGAAGGTTATCTTACATAATATAAAAATATTTAGTGCAATAATGTATGAGAGTGTAGTATCAATTACATACACAAAGATACTTTAATGGCTCAAATTATATTTAATTTTTATTTTTAATCATTGGAATATCAAAAGACCTTCATTCAAGTAGGTCTCAAAGAAAAAAAAAAGACAAAGATGTCAAAAATGTTCTTGATAGTTTTAACATTACGACATAATGAAGATGCTCAAGGAGAACTGCTTTACAGGCCTCAAGAATTCTTATGATCAAAGTATTTATATCCTCTAATGAATGATGCTTAATTTTGGACTTGGAATTGTTCATTAGAATTAGGTTCTGATAGAATATAGCCTTATTTTATGATCAAAGGATCAATCATCTCAGGAATGTAATAGATGAGGACATTATCCATTAACTATGTGAAATTATTTCATACCTGACAAGGTATTCACAATATCCATGGTAGTATCGACGATGAAGTATATATAATGGACACTTATAATTTCCCCCCTCCCTGGGAGGGACTGATAGTTGATCTCCAAGCGTTTTGTGTTTATTTTACCTCGACTACTTTTCTTCCTAGATTCCCTTATAACCACATATACAATACTAATAACAGGCATGGCTTCCTCCCTCAATACAAAATGTGAAATAACCTTTGTTGAAGGAATTTCAACAATAGCAGGTTTATCACACCTAGACTAGGCTTTTTGCGTGAAACATGTTAACGGTTATATTCTAACTTTATCTAGGAACACATAATTTTGCAGGTAACTCAATTCTTTTTGTGCCCACTCCTCTATCCAGATAGTACGCTTTTTTTTTCAAGCTGGGCTGCATTGTTTCTTACAATAGATGGAACTCATAGAAATGCACTGTACTTGCTTCCCCTCCCCCCAAAAAAGCTCTATCTTAACTTTATATTATATTCTTTATAATATATCATTACACCTTAGGATAAACGCTTTTCTTACCTTAGAATTACTGTATTCCAGCTATTGTAATAGCTTTAATTATAACAATATATATTATGAATATATTTATATGTTGTGGTCTAACCCTCAATGATATGTCTACAATCTTTAACTTGGTTTAACACTAATAAACGATTTACTTTCATTTTATTAACATTAAAAACGATTACCAACTATTCCATAACAATAGAAAATAAAAGCTGTGTTGGAGATTGACTTTGCTTCTCTTTTTTATTATTTTAAAAGTATAATAACACTAATAAATGTGAAACACGTTCTCCTTTATTTTTTTTTTAAAAAAAAAAAAAAAAAGGGAAAAATAGTATAATTTTTATTTCATTTATAATAATAATAATAATAATAATAATAATAAAAGTATTGATGTATGCCTCTGCTAAAACACTTTAATTACGTGCTCACGATATATACATATATATAGGACATATATACACATATATATAGAACATATATACATATATATAGAACATATATACACATATAGATCATGATAAATAGCTGAATGCAAATATTAATCTAATCCTAGTTAGGGATATGTTTGGTACCAAAATCCGACAATTTGTAGAAGCTATTGAAGAGGACATGATATGGATAAATGTGACTGGACAGTCGACTAACTTCCTCTAGCACTGAAGCGGACTCCAATACTAAAAAAAGCTTCTATGCCACAGTCATAGTGGCACGGGCAACATGTATGAATCGTACCATCCATGTCTCTTAATAACTTACTACAACTACTATGTAGTGACTACTATGTAGTTTGAACTAAAGAAAAGAAAAGAAAAAAAAAAAGGGAAAACAGATTGTCTCCTTATATAGAAAAATAAAATAAAAAGGTCACAACATTTATCATCGTTATTAATTGTTATTGGCTACAATTTTTTTTTTTCATGCATAATAGTAATAAAAAAAAAGGGGGGGAGGGAAGAGATCATCAGCGTATATTATAGTTTTTTTTTCTTCACATTATACTATATAA